CTTTTAATATTTATTTTTCAGTTCTCGGCGGACACAACATCTTTGTTGGTATGTGGTGCTGAGGATCGAACCCGGGTCGCATGCATACCAGGCGAGCACGCTACCGCTTGAGCCACATCCCCAGCCCCTCCTTTTTCTTTATCATTATAGCACCTAGTCTGTGTAGCACCTCATCCATGCTGCAGGCCTTCAATTAATGGTGATTGAATGAGTGAATCCAGATCCAAAGTGGTTTCCACAAAACTCACCTTTGATTTAAATCAATGGCAGAACCCAGAATAGAATCCAGGGCTCCCAAGTATCCCACACTTGTTCCCACCTACACATGTCAAATTAATGAAACTCCTTAAATTGCTTTTCATAAAGTCTCTAGAAAGGAAGAGGGTTTTGTTTTGTTTAATAAATTGTAACCCTTCTGTAAAATATATAGAATTCTGTTTGTTTGCTTGAACTTACAAATAAGCAATTGCTTTCTTACCTGCCTTGACATTTTAGAAAGAGCCACAGATGGAATCTTAAAAAAGAGTCAACATAGTGTTACAAAGGAAAGATTTGATTCAGATTAGAATTTTAGAAAGCTGTTGGTTGTTAACTCTTAATACTCCACAAATCCTTCAATTAGTGAAATGTGTTTTGTTTTGTTTATTTGTTTTGGGATTATTGGAGATTGAACCCAGGCATGCTCAACCACTGAGCTACATCCTCAATCCTTTTAAAAATAATTTTTTTTGAGACAGGGTCTTGCTAAGTAGCCCAGGCTGCCCTCAAACTTACAAACCTCCTGCCTCAGACTTTTCAATCACTAGGTATACACCTACTGTACCCAACTGTGAATGTGTTAATTCTGTATGGTTTTTCTCCACTCTTTTCTTTTTTAAAAAATGTTTATTTTTTAGTTGTAGTTGGACACAAAGATATTATACCTTTATTTTTTTATTTATTTTTATGTGGTGCCAAGGATCAAACCCAGGGCCTCGAACGTGCTAGGCTGCTAGCACTGTATCCCTGAACCATGACCCCAGCCTCTCCACTCTTTATTTATATTGAAGGTGGCATATCATCTCCTGTATTCTTGTCTAATAAAGATAGGAAAATCTCTTTACTGATTATGTCATTTCAACTAAGCTGGAGGATCTGATTGTACTTTTTAGTAAAAGGAAACTTGTAATTTCTTGGATTGAGTGTTAAACCTTGGGGAAGGGTGAGGAGGTATCGTATTATGGAATAAATACACCTTCTAGGAAATTCTCCTCTTTTGTATTTCCATTTAGGACAGTACTACTCAAAGTCTGGGAAACTTGCTAGACATGATGTACCAGGAGCCAGCACGATGGTCCTATACATTTCAAACATTTTCATTTCTGAGCCGCCTGAAAGTACAGCTGGAGTCCTTCCCTGAGAAACACATGCAGGCCAAGAAGCCCATGCAGATCTTTGAGAGGTCTGTGTACAGTGACAGGTAAGATACCAAGCCCTTTGCCAGTTACAAGCCCCATGCTCAGTTCTGTGTGTTTGTTCTTCTTGCATGGACTCTGCACTGGTCTAATCAATTAAAATGGTACTTCAAAAAAAAAAAAAAAAAAGCTTCCTTATAAAGACAATTTTACAGATTTCTCCATAGTTGTAATTCTACTGAATTACATGTCAGAAAAGGAAGTTGTGTTTTTCATTAACTGTATGCATTGAATTTCCCACAGTGCTCTTGACTACCTTATGTTTCCTTACTTTATGGCATAGAGGCAAACTTGTACTTATCTAGTATAACTTAAATACTTAAAGTACAGAATAGACACTTAGGTAGCAGTATATGTTCCAGAGAACCAAATAAATCCGTGATTGATTATCACCTAGTTGAAAACTATAGACAATTAAAATTTATGTTGCCTAAATGACTACAGGAGCTTTATTCACTCTTTTTATTCTTCAGAAAAGGATGTCTAGGAAGAAATAGCACATTTGCAAAATTGGCACCTGTGCTCTATTTATCCTTTTTTTGATCCCTTCCTACGTATTAGGGCTTATTGCTGGCCAGAGTCTAGAGTAAACACAAAATACTTATGTACTTCAGGGGCAGGTCTTCATCTTGAAGGAAAGAGATGTATGGTTACTTTAAGTGTAGGCTAGCAGACAGCCTGGGAGGTGAGCCCATCTATTCCAAAAGAATTACCCCATCCAGGCACCAGATTTCCTGCATCTGTTTTGCCAGAGACAAGGCTATAAACTTGGGGTTTGGCTACCTAGAGATGAAGTTAGGGTGGCTTGATCTGAATACTGCTGAGGTTTTTCATTTGTGAACTTTGTAAAATGGTAAGCAGACTTATTTATTAATAGCCCTTTTGATCTATCAAAATGGAACTTTTTCATTGTCCACTCACTGCTAAAGATATTCATGATTCCAAATTAGATAAACTAGTTCTTAAGTGCTCGCATAAAGCCTCCTGGAAGAAAAAAAAATAAGGATTTATTTGTAAATGGCATGTGATTATCTGACTTTACCTCCAACTCATGCAAGACATGTGAAACAAACCCTGCAAGCTACACATTCCTTCTTTGTAGGCCCCAAGAGGAGTGTATTCTAAAAAGTGGGTGGATTACAAATGGTTGGGCTCTGAGTTTTAGTTCTTTTTCTACTATGTACTGGACTTCTCTCTGTTTTTCTCTCTTCTTTCAAGACATGCCTCTTGAGACTAGGAAGTTGAGTTACATATAATCTTCTGGATTGCTTGGAAACATTCACAGTTGGTCTTTTGACTTCTGGCCCTTAGTGAGAGACCTCCCAGAGGAAAACAGAAAAATAGAAATACTACATTTATTAGAAATGCTTTGTTAAGCTACCTGGATCTTAACATTTACTTGTAAAGGAGGAGAGAAAAATTGATCCCACTATGGGAGCTACATCATTCCAGGTACCTTCATCAGAAGGGGCTTTTTTTTAAGGATAACTAATTACAAATTCTAATCCTGAGTATAATTTTATACCCTTTTAAAAATTCATTCCAGGGCTGGGGGTCTGGCTAGCTCAATGGTAGAATATGATGTTTAGCTTGCACAGGGTCCTGAGTTTCATTCTCAGTTTACACACATGCATGTGCATGCACACACACACACACACACACACACACATATGCACACACAAAAAAAATCATTCCTTTATTTGTTGGCTCAATACAGAATGGCTCTTCTGTTGAGGCCTCAGCGTGCTCCTGGGGCTGTATCAGAAAAGGCAGTCCCAGTCACTGCCTGTATGAGAGAATTCTAGTCTAATAGGGACTGTACACATGCGTGTTCTGAAAGAGGAATATGGGTTTTCTGGGAGAGTAGAGAATAGGGAGAAAGAAATTTAAGTCTATTCTGATTGAGTTAAAGGAAACACTAGCATGTGGTTTTAGAACAGAGACCCTGACTGCTAGGCCTTAAGCCCTGTTCTTCTCCACAGCCCCTATATTCAGTCTGCAGTAGAGGTCTCCTCTTAGTGCCCAAAACCTTATCTTCTACTCCCTCTCACCGATCACTACTAGCTTTGGAAAAATAAGGGATGTGCTCATCCTCAAGGCCCATTTTATAGAACTTCTGAATTTTTCTTTATAGCATCTGAATTTCTTCTTCTAGTTATCTGTGGAAAAGCTAACAACATTTTTCAGAACTTGATTTATAAAAGACACCTTTTTCCTTTTGCCTTCAGCTAAGCTATAGCAAAATCATTCTAGACTAAGAAAGTTTGCTTTTGGTATTTTCACATTAGCTTCTTTATAGCTAGCAAAAAGCAGTGCAGTAATAACAAAGATATTTTAAATAATCCACCAGTCACTTTTCTAAGCACTTTATGAGTATTATGTGCAATCATCAAAATAATGGATTGAGAGAGTTCAGGTGACTTTCCAATGTGTCATGGCTAGTGAGCATTACAGCCAGGATCAGACCCTGCAGAGTTACTCTGGAAACTATTCTCTTAAAGGCACACTCACTGCCTTCCCCAAGTCATTCATACACAAGGATTCTGAATTTCATTTTCCCAGAAGTAGCCAGTTGCTGAGCGTTGCCTTAGAAACTGGAGTTCATTGTTGAGGATGTAAATTGTGTTTTGTATCAAAATGCCTGTGATTTGAAAACGGAATTGACCCCTCCAAAGCCATGATTTCTGTTTAGCTCTGACTTCCTATTTACCAGAGCCTCCTTTTGTGTGGAAGTAAGCAAGAAGCAAAGCTAGTTTGATTTGCAGCTTTAGAGTCTTTAATCTGACTTAGAAGTTAAGCAGCAGAGGAAGCAAGCCAGTAGAAGCTCATTCGTACTTTGGTGGAGAGTCTACTTTCTTGTTAATACTGAAGTTAGTAAGAAATGTATTTCCTGCTTCATAGACGACACTACATAAAGGTAGTTCCCTCTTCATTTCTCAGCTAGTCAAAAGGGTAGCTTAGCAGGCAGAGGACTCAGAGGCCTTCAGTCCTTAAATATAATATGCTGAGTGGCTTTATGCTGGATTCACTTGTTTTTGTTTTTGGGGGGGTAGGTACTAGGCATTGAACTCGGATACTCAACCACTGAGCCACATTCCCAGCCTTATTTTGTATTTTACTTAGAGACAGGGTCTCACTGACCTCATTGGGTCTCACTGACTCTCTGTTGCTGAGGCCAGCTTTAAATTCATGATCCTCCTTTCTCAGCCTCCTGAGCCACTGGGATTATAGGTTTTGTTTGGGGCCTTGCCATCCCAGGAAATCTCAAAAGTTGCACCCTTTGCTATGTGGCTCAGCTGGTTGAAAAATTGTCCTGGACCAATGAGTTACTCTTCTGGTATCCCTTTTCTTGCAGTGACTTATTGCATCTGGAAAGCTGTGGTCTCAGCCTTTAAGTTGAGATACTGTTTTCCACCATAGTGTTGAGCAGGGAGGGAGCTGTGGGTTAAGAATTCAGATTTCTTAAGAATTGATGAGGAGCTAGAAAGGTTAAGTGCTTTGAACAGACATGGAACAAGTTGGTTATTGATTTTTGTGCTTGTCTCTCTCTTGTGCTTTTCATTCCATTTCCCATTCTTCCTCCATCCCCACCCCATCCCACTTACATTTCTAACCAGGTATATCTTTGCGAAGAATCTTTTTGAAAATGGTTCCCTCAGTGACATCGAATGGCACATCTATCAGGACTGGCATACTTTTCTCCTGCAGGAGTTTGCCAGTCGACTGTCATTACATGGCTTCATCTACCTCCAGGCTACTCCCCAGGTAACTCTGAACCTAAAACCTTCATTTTCAGGGCTTTATGAAACGAAGAGGGTGACTTTCAGATTTTCTTGTTGGAGAAGTTAGAACACAGGTATTATCCAGGGCAGAGAGAGCAATAGGTGGACACCTCCTAATCTAGTGTTGAGCAACCCATTTCCCACAGGTTTTGTGCAGCAGTGTGCTCAAGCAATTAAGTATGCATTAAAAGGTCCTGCTTAATGAAGCCACAAAGCAAGAATAAATTGGGCACTATCCCTGTCACTCTAGGTTTATGGCATGGACACTCTGAACTGTAGCCAGTGGCCTCAGTGCTTCCTTCCAGTGGCAGGGTCATATGAGGTTGTAATGATCTCATTGGTTTTCTGAATAGGATGTGGAGAGGTGCCACAGTCTGGCTGGGCACCAAATCACGAGCCACCACACCTTGTAGATTCAAACAGCAACTCTTTATTCTCGAACTGTCACCTGCACTCTATACACAAAATCCACACTCTCCACCAGGCTCCGAATCCCAAATACTTTCTCAATCCCGTGAGAACTCAACGGGAACTAGAGGCAGCAGGATACACCTTAAACCTGGAACCGCCCTAAACCCAAGGAGCACCCTAAACCCGGATCCGCCCTGGTCCTTGAGCAAGGTCACTTTACATGCAATGTCACTGCAAATGACCTGGGTCATGCCATGCGTCATTCCTACTTGGCAATGGCTCTCAGCAGAGAGGGAGAGAAAGAGGATTTTTCTCACCTCATCCTGATATTGCCCTAATTTATTGCCTCTTTTGGAATGTTGAGGAGGCCATGGGTATGGTAGGATGGACTATAGAAGTTCATTCTGTGGCTTTCTGACTTGCACTTTGAAGCCAGCCAACATACAGGATGACATCATGGCAGGAGACTGAAGTCTGTGGAGACAGCATGGTCTTTGGTTTCTGCTGACTGGCAGTAAGAGTAGGCAGTCCCAGGGAAAATTTTGCACTGGAGGTGTCCTTGTCTATAAAATCCATGCCTGAGACAAGATATCTCTAAAGACTTCTGGAGTGGGATTTCAAGTCAAGGTGAGAGGAACTTGCTGAGAGATGCATTGCTCTCAGCTTTTTTTTTTTTTTTTTAATATCTTTATTTTACTTATTTATTTTTATGTGGTGCTGAGGATCGAACCCAGAGCCTCACACTTGCTAGGTGAGTGCTCTACCACTGAGCCACAACCCCTGCCCTGCTCTCAGCTTTTGAGAAAAACTTAAATGACAACTATACCACGTAATCTTAGAAGAAAGGAAAGCTGTCTGCATGCTAAAGGCCGTGTTTTCCAGAGCTAGGGCTAAGCCTCATGGCAAAAGTGAGCCTGAGAGCAGATTGAATAGGGTCAGAAAACAAGTAGGAGAGTCCCTGTCTCAGAGACTCACAGGCCGTGGAGCAGAGGATTGGAAAGAAGGATCTTACCTTGGGAAAGGAGCATCCAAACAAGAAACCTTTGAATATGATGATATCCAGATACTGGGGATCTTTGTTTTGAGGATTTCTAGAAATTATAAGGCAGAAGCTAAATTAGGAGGGAATAAGAGAGTACACAGAAATAAAGAGTCTAAGGTTTAAAATGAAAATGAACTAGAGGTTCTTGAGGCCAGAGGGCTGAGAACCTTTTATGAAGCTGCTGCTTCTTTTTTGTTTTAAATATATTTATTTTTTAGTTGTAGTTGGACACAATAATATTTATTTTAATTTTATGTGGTGCTGAGGATTGAACCTAGGACCTTGCACATGTTAGGCAAGTGCTCTACTGCTGAGCCACAATCCCAGTCCTGTGAAGCTTCTTTTTATGACAAGAACCACTCTAGCCTGTGCAGTGGTATACATCTATAATCCCAGCAGCTTGGAAGGTTGAGGCAGGAGGATCACAAATTCTAAGCCAGTTTCAGCAATTTAGCAAGACCCTGTCTCAGATAAAAAGGGCTAGAAATATGGCTCGATGATTAAGCACCCCTGGGTTTAATCCCTGGCACCACAAAAAAGAGAACTAGGCTAAAGTTAGGTGCATTAATGCCATTTGACATATCTGAGACTTTCAGTGGTTTTCATTGCTTGGGAGCAGGTATATAAGAGGCAAATTAATGAAAGTGATTATTTTAGAGGTAGGTATCAGTGAATAGGGAAAGAGAAATCCCTTGCCAAAGAGGATAGCTTGAAGTAGCTGAGGATCGGGTTTAAGGTGAGAGAAGGCTTGCTCCCAGGAGGGCTCACTAGTAATAGTACTATGTTGTTGGGTTGAGTGAAGATTGTGGTTGGCATTTAAAAAGGTGTCATGGGATGACTGGATTCAAGGAAGCAGAAGCTTGAGAGGTTGGGCATTAGGAGAGTTCTGATCCAACTTGTTCCAAGGGAGACAAAAGTTCAGCACAGCAGCTTAGTATTGTGAAGACAGTGTTGGGAGGAGCAAAGGAGGAGGTGGGCTGATCTGTTCCTAAGAGTAAAACAGTGCTGCCTGGCCAACTCACAGGCCCCTTTTTCTGGGGAGTGGAGGTTGGACTTGGATACTAGGACCCACAGGAAAGCAAGCAAGTCTCTTTCACTTTTTTGTATGTACTCTGAGGAAATGACCTATGAGAGGGATAGGTGCAGTGATGATGATGATGATTATCTCTGGAGGGTCTTGATATATTCTTTTGAGGAGATTAACTAAAGTACTTTAGCTGGTATAGGATGAACTGGTATAGGATGAAGTGAGTCAAAGGATTATTGCAACTTAATGGCAGAGAAGGAAAAAAGCTTGTTGGGAATTAGATGGTGTTGGTTTTGTTTGTTTGTTTAATTCTAGGGTTTTTTTGTTTTGTTTTGTTTTGTTTGTTTGTTTTTGTAGATGGACACAGTACCTTTATTTTATTTATTTATTTTTATTGTGGTGCTTAGGATCAAACCCAGTGCCTCACATGTACTAGACAAGTGCTCTCTCTACCACTGAGCTGCAGTCCTCGCCTGTACATGGGGATTTTAGTTCTTTTTTGATGGCATTAGACCCAGGAATTCAGAAATGCCCACATCCTTCCTTGTTGCCCAAGGGAACAGCAGAACAGAAGTTAAAATATCTTGTGTAAAAACTGTACCAGTGCTCAATACTCAGCACAGAGTGCTATCAATTCTGTTTAGAGCATGTGAGATGGATCGACCTCAGTAGGGCCTTCAGCTCCTTTTCACCTGTTTTCCCTTAAATTCTAAAAAAAACAAACAAACTTGTAATTTTAAAAAATAAGAAGAGAAATGGCTGGATCTTGCTGTTTCCTCGGTACCTTGGAATTAGGTAGAGTGTGCAGCCAGCCAGGGTGCCTCAAAGCCTTGCCTGGGACAGTGAAGCATGGAGACTGGCATGCAGTAGATGTGTGAGAACAAATGGTACCTGGGTTTGGGGATTGGGAGGCACAGTGAACAGACCCAGCAGTGGTCACCATCCAGTTCCTGTCTCTGACCCTGAGCGGTCATACTAGCTCTTCTCCCTGTTGTCTAGGAGGTTAGCTAAAGGATCCCTCCCTGCAGTATATACCTACATTGTCTTTCCTGTTCTCATTCAAGTGTATATTCCCTAGGAGGACTGTGATGAGTGGAGCCAGGCAAAAGCACTATTTGAACTTCTTTTTAAAAAAAGAACTTGTTATAACCATGTCAGTAAAGCAAGAATTATGCCACATGTTCAAAATAGGAGTATACCTAGGCTTCTGGGGTGGGGGATGTTTGCTTTGTTTAGTAAATTAATAGTAAAAAGGACAATATTAGCCTATTTTAATAAATCAGTGTTCACATCAGCGTCTGCAAGCAATGAATTCTTAGTAGCTTTTGTAAGAATTGCAGTGTTCTAATATTTAAAAAATATTCACTAATTCAGATAATATTTTTTCTCACAGAGAAGTAGAGAATCAGTAGTAGTTTAGGAAATCCCAAACTACTTCCTGATGGGAATATAAATTGGTTGACTTCCAAGGAGGTAGTTTGGCAGTAAGCTCATACTTTTTGGCCTATTAATCAGTTGCTTGGAATTTACTCCGTAGATATGCTCACACATGGGCAGAGTGGCCTGTGTATCAGGCAGCATTGTTTGCCGTAGCAAATTATTGGAAATGACCCAGTGTTCATCAATGAGACTGTTAGAATTTATTGTGGTCTGGCTATACATTAGAAAACTTTAAGGCCATAAAGAAGAATGAGAAAGTTCTTTATATACTAATGTGTTCTTTAAGATTTATGCTTAGTGAAGTAAAACAGGTACCAAGTATATGGTGGAACACCTTTAATATGCTTTTTTAAAAAAAGTGAAAGTATGTGTATAAATTATTTCTGAAAGTACACAGAAAGTTAATAACATAGGTTGTGGGTAAAGAAAACTAGGTAGCTGGATGTCAGGGATACACTAAAAAGCTGGGATTGGGGAAGGAGAGGAAGGGGAAGTCTTAGAGCTGTCACCATTGAGAGTGGGGACACAGAGGTAGAAAGGTAGAAGGAAAGAAAAAGAGGCAGGTTCCAAGTGATGGAAAGTAGAAAAGAAAGTAAGCCAGGCATGGTGGCACACACTGGTAATTCCAGCAACTCAGGAGGCTGAGGCAGGAGGATCACAAATTCAAAGCCAGCCTCAGCAATTTAATGAGACCACTGCCTCAAAATAAAATAAAAATAGCTGGGGTTATAGCTCAGAGGTAGAGTGCCCCTGAGTTCAATCCCCAGTATCCCCACCACCACCCTACACTCAAAGCAAATCAAAATAGGAGAAAAAGATAGATGGAAAAACTAGAGTAGAAAGTAATTTTTTTCCCCCAGTACTGGATATTGAACCTAGGGCACATTACCACTTAGCTACATCCCTTGCCCTTTGTATTTTTTATTTTGAGACAGGATCTCACTAAGTTTCCCATGCTGGCCTCGAACTTGGCATGCTCCTCTCTCTGCTTCCCAAATCAATAGGGATTATAAGTGTGTGCCACTGTGCCCAGCTGAAAACAGTAAATGAATACATAAATGAATATTTTTTGGCCACCTACTCAGCCATATCCCGTGCTTAGCCCTAAGCAGGACAGAATCTAACCCTGCCTCCTGGATGTCCCCCAGTCACTGTGTGCCCTTCTAAGTGTCCTGTGCAGACCTCACTCTAAACTCTGATTCATCTGAAAAACAGTAGTCTGTGTTTGCCCAGAGCCTTGCCAGCATTCAGTTCTCAGAGTGGAGCTCTGAGGGTGGGTCACAGATAAAGGGGGACCTCCATAGAAAGTAGCAATTTGAGGCACCCTGCCTTTCCATGAGTTCATGCTGCCTCCTCCCTTATGTCCAAATTGCTAACAGCAAATCAAATTCCAAGGACAGTGCTATATTTAAGTTAGGGGCAATTATTATTAATCGATTAGGGGAAAAGCATAGAAGATATAACAACTAAAAGTGTGGAAGCTTTGAGACCTGTGTCTTCTCATTAGTTTGGAAAGCTGGACATAAAGTCCTAAGTGAAATTTGCTTAGTAGAAAGATAAGAGGGAAACAGCAAAGACCCCAAGTTTTTGAGAATATTGTCTACTACATTTGGGGATAATGCTCACATTTTTAAGTATTTGAAAGAGGAGGTCCCAAATTAGTGGATTAATCCATCTATACTTCTAGTTTACTTCCAGGACAGATGACATTCAATAATAAAACATTTTCCTGGTAGACAGAAAAACAGGGGCAGTTCAGGCAAAACAAACATTTGGAGCAAAAGTTTTGAGAAATGAAGGAGCTTGACCTGTCTCAGAGGAAGAAGGTCAAATCTGGCTGAAGCAACAAGGCCAGGGGAGGAGCTAAGGAAGTTGAGGAGAAATAAGAGGTATAAGAAGTATTTGTGTGACAAGTAACAAAGGAGACATCTGCTTTCTCTGAGCCAGTGAGCTTCAGACTTTCTACCAGATGCAGAATAAATATTGTTCAACACATAGTTAATGCGGGGAGGTGGGTTGGTGTCGAGCCTCTCGTTTTGTTTTGTTTTGTTTTGTTTTTTCTTTTCATTTCCTTGTTTTATCTTTGACCTATGCAGATTTTGCATCCTACTCTAGAGAGAGTGTTTGGTATAACATGAAAGAGATGTTTCAAATTACTTACATTTTATAAATAAAAAGTCACTCATACTTCCTTGAACCTTGTCGTTATGGCTATAGGCAGTAAGAAGCGTGTAAACTATTTTAAGCAAAGAAAGTAATGTCATTATCCATTGCAGTGCTATGGAAGACTGGACTAAGGGGACAGACTTTCAGGGGAGAACAGCTTTTGCCAGGGGCTTGATATGCCTTAACATCGGTGAATTCTGGGGGATATGTGGGGTGGGTGGAAGATGGGGAAATGCACCAAGATGATACCATTGTGCATGATGGAAACAGATTAACTCCAGACTTCATGGCCTTTGCTCTTTTCAAATACTTCTTTAGAAGGCAGAGAGGCAAAAGACTTGCTATAGTCCAGGTAAGAGTCAGTGAGCACCTGATTAAGGCAGCAAGAGATAACCAATTAGAGATATTACAGAGAATTTTCTGACTTCCTCATTGATTGGCAGGTGGAGAAAGAAAGGTACTACCAGATTTCTGGCTTAGCTGACTGGGTGAATGATGTTTGCCATTAACTAGCTAAGTATACTCCAGAGGAGGAGCAGGTCTAAGGTTCAGGTGGAGGTAGAAAGGATGGTATAGATCATCTGATGGAATAAAATTCCGGAACAAGGCAACAGAAGCAAGACTATGACTTGTATTGCCCAAGATGGACACATAGATATTATATTGGTCTCAGTGCTCCCAAGATGGCATTGCAACAGACACAACAGCAGATGAACTCAATAGACCTGGGGATTGTCTTTTAGGTTTGTTTGAAGAGACTGCATCGGAGGGCCAGGGAGGAAGAGAAAGGAATTGAGCTGGCTTATCTCGAGCAGCTTCATGGTCAGCACGAAGCCTGGCTTATTCACAAGACAACCAAGTGAGTTGGAGAAAAGAGCAATATCAGACAGAGATCTATTTTTCTACAGTTGATTGTTCAAAACAAGAGTTCAACCAGACATGTGATGGCTCACACCTATAATCCCAATGACTCTGAAGGCTGAGGCAGGAGAATCTCAAGTTTGAAGCCAGCCTCAGCAACTTTGCAAGACCTTGTCTCAAAATTAAAACTAAAAAGGTCTGGGAATGTAGCTCAATAGTAAAATGTCCCTGGGTTCCATTCCCAGTACACCGCCGCCCCCCCCCCAAAAAAAAAGTTGTTGATCCACTTTTTATTAGATACTATTGCTTCAGCTTTTTGTTTCTTTTCTCTCTTGTACATTTCTTTAGGTTAAACATTGTAATTGATAGTGGTGACACTTGGCTCAGGATGGAGAATTTAAAAATTTGGAAAACTGTCAGTTTTACTTAGTTTCTGGACTGTCCCCCCTTTAAGTTTAATATGTTGTCCACTTAAAATGTTTAAGAGCTCTGACCTTCAGAATCAGTCTCAGGAATAAAAAGAAATCTTAGCCATTTTCTTTCGAGTCAGCTTTATTGAGGTTACTGTTGTTATTTTAATGCTGTTTATGTGCTATTTCATTGAGAAGCTATGTGAATTGAGATCTGTTCTCTGAACTATTAAAATTTAATGAGTATATGAAGCTTGGTTCAGATTTCTTTTTTGTGTTCATGCTTCCTATAGGCTCCATTTTGAAGCTCTGTCAAACATTCCGGTTCTGGTATTGGATGTCAATGATGATTTCTCTGAAGAAGTAACCAGACAAGAAGAACTCATGAAGAAGGTGGGAAGGACTTTTTTTGTTAACTTTTAAGTTGTATATGGACACAATCCCCTTATTTTATTTATTTATTTTTATGTGGTACTGAGAATCAAATCCGGGGCCTCACCCACGCTAGGCAAGCATTATACCACTGAGCCACAATTCCAGCCCTATGAGAAGGATCTTAACTTCTAATTTCTAGTAGTTTTCTTCTTGTTGTATTTTTGTCTTCTGGTCTTTGCTTCAAAGTTTAATACATTGGACTTTGGGGTTTGCGTCTCAAATTGCAGTTCACACTCTGAAAGCCAATGGGATCTTGTACACGCTATAAATAGAATTCCTATTCTCTGAAGTATGTAGGGTAATAATTATTGAATAATTGACTTGTAATATATGCTTGCCAGCTGACTTCCTCCTCTAAGGTATTCTAAAACTGGGGAAATGAGACTTCTGGATTTTATTCCCAGCTCTGCCACTTGCCGCTATACAACCCTGGGTAGCTCACATTTCTTCTTCAGGCCTATTTTCTCTTTCTCACAAAAACTCATGGGACTGCATACATACACATTGTGGATAACCATTGAATAGTCTGCTGAAAATGTGAAATTTAACTCGGATTTTCTCTTTCCCACAGGTAAACACCTTTGTAAAGAATCTGTAACCCATACTAAGATGTTTTGGCTGTGATATGGGCTCTCTGACTTTCTGAAGCTAGAAAATATTAAACCTCCCACCCACCTTTTCATCCCCTTTCCCTTTTGCCCCTCAAGCACTCTTGACAACAAGGGTGTGGTTTGTGCTATCTTTAGATTTTGCCATTATCTTTCTTTATATGTATGTATATGTATCAAGGACTTTGAAAATAAAGTTGATTGACATTTCTTTATTTTTCTAATCAATTTATTCATTTTATTTCAGGATGTCTCTATTGGTGCCTGCTCTGAACTCCCCCATATCAGTTTTCTTTTTCTTTCTTTCTCACCCCCCACCCTCCCAACCTTTCTATGTTGAGGATTTAACCCAGAGCCTGTATCACTGAGTTATATCTCCAGACCTGGTCAAAAGAAAGAAGGAGAGAACATCAAGAGCCCAAAGTTCGGCATCTAACATTTAGGGGTAGGCCATCCAGAATGGCACTCTGGCTTACACAGAATACCGTGCCAGGTGAATTTCAGATACCCTGAATGGAGTATCACTCTCTGTACAGAAAGAAGTTTTTGTGCTGCTCTTCAAGCTTCAAGGACAATTTATTGTTAAGGAGGAAAAACACATTGCTGTATAGAATTGAAATATTCTATTGTAAGAAGCTTATAGGCCCGTGATTCACCAGTATTGAATTTCCTACACTGAACTTTGAAAAGTTCTGCAGACACACAGGAAAATGGACTTGAGACTTGGAGTATCCTGGAAGACAGAAATATGTGTTTCTGTTCTTCATACTTTGGGAAAATGAATGAGAGACTGGCTTCTAACAAATGTGTCATGTTTGGGGAAAATTTCAACAATTTCTTTATACTACTTCTAACAGCATTATTAATATATTATTCATAATCATTAATTCATTTAGAGGGTACAACTCAATGGTTTTTAGTATAATCTTAGGATTGTACAACCAACAGCAATTTCCAGAACATATGCATTACTCCAGATAAAGCCCATATCTTGTTTTTCCCCCCAAGATTCTCCCCTGCCATTTAATCCTATATAACCACCAATTTACTTTCTGTCTGTCTAGATTTGCCTAATCTGGACATTTCATAAATGGAAATACATAGTCTTTTTTTTTACTTAGCATAATGTCTTCAAGTTTCTTCCAGATTGTAGCATGTCTAATGTTTCATTTTATGGATATACCATATTTCATTTATCCATTCATTGGTATCTATCATTTTGATAGCTGTCCTAGGGGTGTGGAATGATATCTCATTGTAGTTTTGATATACATTCCTCTGATGGTTGATGATGTTGACATCTAGTAGGTACTTTCTGATCATTTGTATGTCTTACTTGGGTAACTGAATTCAAATCCTGAGAGTTCTTGATGCTGATCAGATAGATATAATGATTTATAAATATTTCCCCCATTCTACCAGTTGTCTTTTTGTTTTCCTGATAGCATCCTTTGAAGCACAAACAAATATTATTTTCATTTTAATGAAGTCCATTTTATTTATTTTAGTCATTTATGCCTTTTGTAGCAAAAAACCAAAATTAACCCACAATCACAAATATTCTTTCTTTTATTTATTTATTTTTTATTTTGAGACAGGTTCTCACTAAATTGTCTGGTCTGCCTTGAACTTACTGTTTTCCTGCTTTGAGGTCCTGCCTACCTGGGATTGCAGATGTGTGCCACCATACCAAGCTCCTATATTTTCTTCTAAGAGTCTTATTATTTTAACTCTTATCTTTAGATTTATGTATAAAGAAAATAATCCAGGGCTGGGGTTGTGGCTCAGTGGTAGAATGCTTCCTAACATGTGTGAGGCCCTGGGTTCGATTCTCAGCACCGCATATAAATAAATAAAGTAAAATTTCCATTGATAACTTAAAAAACATTGAAAAAAGAAAATAATCCAGGAGTTATCGAGTTATGGCTCGGTGGTAGAGTACTTGCCTGGCATGTGTGAGACCCTGGGTTCCATCCTCAGCACTGCATATAAATAAATAAAATAAAAGAGCCATTGACAACCAAAAAAATGTGAAAAAAGAAGAAAGAAAAGAATCCTTCATTCCTTTGCATGTGAGTATCCACTTGTCTTAGTGAACACCATGTGATGAAAAGACCGTTCTCTCCCCTATTGAAGTGTCCTGACATCTGTGTTGAAAGTATATCCCACTTATTCTCATGCTTGGTTGCTGCTTCAGATTCTGGAGAAGACCAGAGATGAAGATAGGATATTTGATGTGTTTTGGAAACAGTGATTTTAGCCATTTAGCTTTGAAGAGCCCAGTTATTTAATTCCCATCTGTATTTCCAGGAACCAGTAATGTAGAAATCACCAGTAGACCTAGAATAATAGCAGTAGGAGGTTGGGGATGTGGCTCAAGCGGTAGCGCGCTCGCCTGGCATGTGTGCGGCCCGGGTTCAATCCTCAGCACCACATACAAACAAAGATGTTGTGTCCACCGAGAACTAAAAAATAAATAAATAAATATTTTTAAAAAATAATAATAGCAGTAGGCCCTCACTCTTCACTCATCAGCAAATATTTTTTAGTATCTGCGTATTCTAGATACCAAGGAGATAATGGTGAACATGACAAAAGGCAGACTTTGTCCTATGAGAACTTGTCATATATTGAACAAGTGATATAAATAAATTGCAGAAGTGATCATCACATTTCAAAAGAAGTACAGATGTACTATGAGGGTCTGTAAATCAAGGAGCCAACATTACCTGAAATAGGGCCCCTAAGAAAGTGACAACTGTTGTGAAGAATAAATGGGGTAAAATGTTGACATAGAGAAAAAAGTCATGGCCACAGCCTTCATGTAAGAGTGTAGCAACAGGTTCAGTTGTCAAAGCAAAAGACAGATGACTATAGTTTGGGAATACTCTCCTCTTTCAAATTTTGAGTCTTGAATCAAGCATTTATCTATTTTTCTACTGGGGATTTAACCCAAGGCCACTTAACCATTGAGCTCAGTCCCCAGACCTTTTGTTTTTTATTTTGAGACCGGGTTTTGATAAGTTGCTTAGGGCCTCACTAAGTTGCTGAGGCTGGTTTGGAACTTGCAAACCTCCTGCCTGGGCCTGAGTTTCCTAGTGCTAGGATTGCAGACAGGTGCCACCATGCTCAGCCAAATTCAGTATTTCCTTCTGTAAGCATTACCTTTTAGAATGTCAGTGTCCTCTAGGATAGTCAGCATCAACAGTCTCACTTGGGTGAAATAATTTGTTGTTTCCAAATTGGTAGTAGATCATTTGGAGATAAGCAGTAATTTTGAATTATAAGCATGGGGAAGAGGGGAAGATCTGAGTGGAACCCCAAAATATGGGGAGAACTGCATGGAGACAGGCTAAAACCTTCAAGCACCTCAAAGATTAAAAGGGGTTCCTGAGGATTGTAAATAGCACTGGAATAGACAGAATCTGCTAGCATTTTGCCTAATGGTCTCTACACTGTCAGGTCAGCCTGAGAGGCTGTTCTCACTCTTGATTTGGACTATCCCCCAGAGTCAAGTAACTTGGATTAACACATTAAAATGGCTGCATTTTTTTTTTTTCTGGCTTATAATGTGGCAAAACCTGCTGTTCTGGAACCTGTGGTTTATAAGGTGGATCAAGGTTGTGAAAGTTCTAAGTGAGGCAGAAGATGATAGTTTCTGGTGAAAGAGACTGTTTGTTAAATGCAAATGCTAGAATCACAGGGGTGGGGACTTAAAATGCACTTTAAAATGTAAAGACTCTTCAACCTCCTTCAGCCTTCTCTTTAAATAGTAAGCAGTTTAAATACTCTGGCCCACTTTCTCCTTGCAACTTTTTCTGTTTGTTGATATCTTTGACTCTTCTACCTCCCTTTCTGTCTCCTGGGCTGACATCTTTTTCTCTCCTTTGAAGTGTTGTGTCCCCAAGGCACCCTTAGTCATTTCTGACTTTACTCACTCCCCTCTGTGATTATATTAGCTTTCCATGACTCTGACAAAATACATGGGAGAAACAATGTAAAGGGTTTTTGGGTTGTTTTTTTTTTTTTTTTTTTTTTTTTTGCAGGGGGTGCCGGGGGAGGGTGCTGGTGCATATTTTGGCTCATGCTTTTAGGTTTCCATGGTCATTTAACTGTTATTTCTAAGCCTGTGGTGACGCAGAGCATAAAGGCAGAGTGCATGGAGGAGGAAAGCTGCACATCTCTTAGCAGCTTGCAAGTAAAGAAGCAGAGAGGGGCCCAGGGACAAGATATAGCCTTCAAAAGCATGCTACTAAGGACTTAACTTCCTCCAACCAGACACTGCCTCCTCTAAGTTTCCACTACTTCCTAACAGCCCATTAAATTATAAACCCATCAAAGGATTAATCCATTGATGAGGTTAGAGTCCTCATGACCCAATCACCTTCCAAATGCCCCACCTCTGAATATAGCTGCCTTGGGGACAAGCCTATAACACATGAGCTTTTGGGGGATATTTTAGATACAAACAATAACAGTGATCTTATAGTAGTTTTTGTTGTTGCCACATCAAATGCATAGATACAGAAGCATAAAGCAGCACAAATTTATAACCTTTCAGTTCTCTAGGTCAGAACTCTGGCATAGGTCATAGTGGTCAAAAATCAAAAGTTATCAGTAGGGCTGCTTTCTTCCTAGATGGTCATTTCCTTACCTTTTCTGTTCTCTACAGGCTGCCTGCATCCTTGGCCCATTCCTTCATTCTCAAAGCCGATAACATTGCATCTCTGACCATAGTCAGGAAAGTTTCTCTGTAAGGACCCATGTGACTACATTGGGCCCACCCCAATAATCCAGCCTAATCTCCCCTCTTCAAGGTCTTAGCCTTCACTACATCTGTGAAGTACCTTTTGCTTTATAAGGCAACGTATTCACAGGTTCCAGGGATTAGGATTTGGGTTTGGGTGTAGGGATTGCTATTCTACCATTTACAGATCTCAAACACTCCCATGGCTTCTACCGTTAGCATGGAGTAGGCCTTTTTAAAAACTTGAAAATGTTATGGGAATTGTATAAATGACTAAGGAATTAGCATAAAACATTCCTGTATCCCTATTACCCTAGCCTGTGAGCACCAGGAAGAAACTTGAACTTTGACAAAGGCAGATTTATTAACTTGAAGGAGGAAAAGTTTTTCATCCCACCCTCACTGAGGCACCTCACCAATCAGAAAGAGTTGTAGGGTTTTGAGGTAGGGTAGATTGTAGGTGAAATTTAAACAGCAGTGTTTTGATAGGTGCAGAGCAAAGCAGGACTGTATAAAAGAATCAACAGCTTGTTCCTACATGCCAAGCAGACCCATTTTTTTTTAGAAAACAAAGTTAAGAAAAATGGAATATTGTGTCCAGAAGCCCCTTCTCTGGGCCTCTGAAACTGGGTTAGAAATCAAGACCATTTCTTTGTGTCAAAGTGACTTAGATCCTCCTGTGATGCTTTATTTTTACTGATAAAACTTCAGTCAGTGATAGTCTCCCATTTTATTTTATTTTTTCCATTACTGGGAATTGAACTCAGAGAGTTCTACCACTGAAAACATCCCCCATCCTTTATTTTGACTCAAAGTCTGTCTAAGTTGCCCAGTCTGGCCTTGAACTTGTGATCTCCTGCTTCAGCCTCCCAAATTACTGGGATTATAAGCGTGTTCCACCACAGCCAGATCTTGTTATGACATTTCACCCCTACTGCATGTCCTGAGGAGAACTACTATTTCATAGTAACTCTGTAGCTGGCTCTACCTCTGTCTCTCCCCATAGCCTGATGAGTGGCAGGGCAGCTTTTGACTTACTATGAGCTAATTAATTTCCTACCCACTTCAATTATTTACTCAACCAACTTTGATTCACCTATAGCCTTCCTTCCACGCTCAGTTTATTTTGAGGCAAATCCCAGACAGGAAGATGACTTTTACAACTAGAGCCTCACAGAACTCTAGATGCCATAACCCAAATCCTTTGTGCTCAATGAGCACAAAACAAGTTTCCATAAACCAGGTGTTGTGGTGCCTGTAATCCCAGCAATTTGGGAGGCTGGGACAGGAGGTCTAAGTCAGCCTCAGCAACTTAGCAAGGCCATAAGCAACCTAGCAAGACCCTGTCTCTAAATAAAATTTAAAAAGGGCTGAGGATGTGGTTCAGTGGTTAAGCACCCCTGGGTTTAATTCCCAGTTTAAAAAAAAATGTATAGAAATAGCAGAATGACGATTACAAGGAGATGAGGGAGGGAGAAGAGTTCTTGTTCAGTGAGCATAAAGTCACAGTGAGATGAGTATGTTCCAGAGATCCACTGTACAACAGAGTATCTTTAGTTAACTATGAAGTATTATGCACTTAAACATTATTTAAAAAGTAGACCATGTTATGTTCTTAGCACCAAAAAGGATAGGAGGAGACACAAGAAACTTGGAGGTGATTGATGTATTTGTTT